AAGAAGGCCCCGGCATAGCTAACTTCTACTCAAATAGTCAAGATTTACCTGTCACAAATTTGCTCAGTCAATTAAGCCAGCAAACCATTAGCTCTCAACAGAACTTTAACTCTCAACAAAGTTCTGGCTCCCAGCAGAGCTTTGGGTCACAATTTACTCGAAGTCAGTCAAATGGTTTCAGCCAGACAGGGCCAAGTGGTGTGCGTCAGACAGGATTAGCTGGTCAGCAGTTGGCAGGATCCAATAGTTTTAGTCAGAGAGGTACAAATGCTAATATTCGCCAGTTAGGATCAGCTGGTTTCAACCAGGCAGGACCAGGTTCTACATCACGTCAAACAAGTTCATCCAGTTTTAGCCAGACACAATCAGGTGGAATAGTGACAGGATCAAATAGATTTAGTCAGACAGGAGCAAGTGGTCAGCGTTTGGGTGGAATAAGTGGCAACACTCAAACTGGATCAACTAACCAATTCAGTCAGACTGGATCAAGTAGCTTCAGTCAGTCAGGATCAAGAGGTCAATTGACTGGATCAGCTGGTTTCACCCAAAGAGGATCAAGTGGGCAACGTGTGACTGGATCCACCAGCTTCATTCAGACTGGATCAAATGGTCAAAGTGTGCCTAATCCAGCCAGCTTCAGCCAATCAGGGTCAAGTGGTCAACTGACTGGATCTGCTGGCTTCACCCAGACAAAGTCTAGCAGTCAACGTGTGACTGGTTCATCTTTCGGCCAATCTGGAACAAGTGGTCAGTTGTCTGGGTCTGCTGGCTTCACCCAGACAGGATCTAGTGGTCAACGTGTGATTGGATCAGCTGGATTCAGCCAGGCTGGTTTTGGTAGTCAACGTACAACTGGAGCAAGTGGTCAGCGTGTGACTGGATCAACCAGTTTCTCTCAGACAGGATCAGGTCAGCAAGTGACTGGATCAACCAGTTTCACCCAAGCAGGAGCAAGTGGTCAACGTGTGACTGGTTCATCTTTCATTCAGTCTGGAACAAGTGGTCAGTCTGGATCGGCTGGTTTCACCCAGACAGGTTCTAGTGGTCAATTTGTGGCTGGATCAGCTGGTTTCAACCAAGCTGGATCAAGCAGTCAGCGTGCAACTGGATCAAGTGGTCAGCGTGTGACTGGATCAACCAGTTTCTCACAGGCAGGAACAAGTGGTCAGCGTGTGACTGGATCAACCAGTTTCTCTCAAGCAGGAACAAGTGGTCAGCAAGTGACTGGATCAACCAGGTTCTCTCAAGCAGGAGCAAGTGGTCAGCGTGTGACTGGTTCATCTTTCGTTCAGTCTGGAACAAGTGGGCAGTTGTCTGAATCAGCTGGCTTCACCCAGACAAGTACTGGTGGTCAACTTGTGACTGGATCAACTGGTTTAAACCAAGCTGGATTAGAAAGCCAACGTGCTACTGGATCAAGTGGTCAGCGTGTGACTGGATCAACCAGTTTCTCTCAAGCAGGAACAAGTGGTCAACGTGTGACTGGATCAACCAGTTTCTCTCAAGCAGGATCAAGTGGTCAACGTGTGACTGGTTCAACTGGCTTCAGGCAATCTGGATCAGTTGGTCAATTGAATGTACCTGCTGGCTTCACCCAGACAGTTTCTAGCGGTCAGCGTGTGACTGGCTCAACTTTTAGCCAATCTGGATCAAGTGGACAATTGTCTAGAACACCTGGCTTCACCCAGACAGTTTCAAGTGGTCAGCGTGTGAGTGGATCAACCAGTTTCACCCAAGGAGGGGCAAGTGGTCAGCGTGTGACTGGTTCAACTGGTTTTGGTCAGTCAGGATCAAATAGTCAACAGACTGGATCAGCTGGCTTTGGATTTAGTGGTCAACGTGTGACTGGTTCAACTGTTTTCAGCCAGTCTGGTGCAAGTGGTCAACTGTCTGGATCAGCTGGCTTTGGTCAGTCAGGATCTGGTAGCCAACGTCAAACTGGATCAAATGGCTTTAATCAGCTGAGCTTCAATGGCCAGAGGGTGACTGGGTCAACTGGTTTTAACCAGGCTTCAAACGGCCTTAGTCAGTCTGGATCTCAAGGTATCATTGCTGGATCAAATGGATTTAGTCAGGGTGTGACTGGATCAAGTGGACAAAGTGTGACTGGGTCAGCTGGCTTTAGTCAGACAAGTTCAGCTAATCAAGCCACCTTGGGATCTACTGCCTTTAGCCAGGCTGAACCAGGTAACCAGCGTTTATCCGGAGCAAATAGTTTTAGTCAGACAAAATCAAGTGGATCTAACTTTAGCAGTTCCTCCAGTTCACAGGCAAGTTTCAGTTCTTCACAAGACAATGCTGGGTTCAAGAGCATTGCTGTAGTACTGGCAGGATCACCTGAAGCTTCAAAATTGTTGAACTAAGAGTGAGAAAGGCAAACTTGGCGAGACGATTTACTGTTTATATGAATGAAGATGGAGAGGATGTAACAGGCTGCGAAATGAAACGAAATGCTGTGTTAAACTGGCTGATAATCTGATATATGACAAAGAAAGGAAAT